TTGGGGTGTAGGGATTTTAACTGCTCCAATGACGAATTCTCTCAAGTCCCATGGGCTAGTGGACTCCGAGCGACGCCGCTCGGACATCGCCGAAGCTTTCTTACCCCGAGAATGTATGTATACCTCAAATTGAGAACGTGTTCTGAGGTTATTCCGGCATTCAATTGGGCAAAGCTGTTCGAAGGTGCGGGTTCTCAATCACATCGATTGTGTCGCAAGACCTCATGTGAGCATTCAGTGGCAAACATTGAGGTATGGGTGGTGTACAGTGCCTTCTATCTATCGATCGGCCTCTATATGATTTAGATAGAGCCCGCCATATAGGTACATCAAAGCTCTACTCGCGGGAAGTCGCGACATTGAGGCCTGGAGTCCGCGTGTACTCAATAGTGAAGAGGGCTCTTTTGATGCGGACTCGAGAAAGGACCTCTACCATGAGTCAGGACGTCCTGGCCTGACCATTATTTTGATTAACCCAACTCGAAAAATCCCGGACATACCTCATATAAGTCTGCCTTCGATTCGGGAACAGTGAAAGACGATATTGCCCTCTCTATTCCCTGTCACACAATGGCGGCTTCCCCAGACTTTGCCCAGCTCCCTGAAGACGACGAGGACATGAGTGAGCTCTCAGGAGAGGAGCTCGCCGAGCACTTCCAGGACGTCACGGTCGGAGGTCGTGACAGACTTTATCATTCGAGCCAAACGGCGCCGTATCCGTTTCCTGTCGATACGCCCGAGCAAAAGGTATGTTATCTCACCATGTTTTATCTAAGTGGAGGTCGTCAAGCTCAACATCGGTAGAGGGTGAAAAAGGAACACGAACTACTCAAACGATTACTTGGAGATGCCTTCCTTGGTCGTATAGATCACGTCCTCAATACCGTACCACCCGGCCCACAAGTGGTTGTAGACTTTGGTACCGGCCCAGGACAATGGCGAGTCCTTCTGTCGGCTTTCGACTGAATCCTGCTCACCCCGTCTGTGAAGGGTTATGGACATGGCTGAAATATACCCGGAAGTCATCTTCCATGGGCTGGACATCGGTGATTGATTCCTGATGCAAACCTGAAAGTGCTCTCATCGTCTTCTTATCGATTACTTAAAGTTCCTATTGCTCCCCGCGTCGACCTCCCAGACAACGTCAACTTCGAAATTCACGATATCAACGAGCAAACGCGATTTCTTACCGGTTCCATCAATCTCGTACACGCGCGCTCGATTTCAATGACAGTGAGTCTCGTTCAGATGTACTCCGATAGTCGGATCTCGGAAACATGTCCAGGTTAAAGATTATCGAACAATCATCCGAGAGGCCGCACGCATTCTTCGTCCGGGAGGGCTGTTTATATCCGGCGAGTGGCTCAGATACCCAGCATTCGATTCAAAAGGTTTTCCGAATTTCAACCTCCACACAAACGCACCGCATTTGACTCTGTTCTTCGAGCGTTGGAACGAAGCCCTTCTACACAGGAAGGGCATCCATCTTGTCGAGCATGAGATAGCGCATATGGTCGGTGAGGAGAAGTGCTTTGGAGATGTGACTTCGCGTAGCATGTTTCTGCCCATCGGGGATTGGAGAGAGGAATTGCCATTGAAGGCGATGGGTAGACAGTACAGGGACTGTATGAAGCGGTATCTTGAGTCATCGCGCAGGCTGTTGCTCGACAACGGCCACACGAACCAGGAACTGGATGGGATGTTTGCAAACGCGAGTCACGAGATGAGATACGTCGAAGGAATGGGAGGGGTTTATTATGTAGTGACAGCGATCAGGTTGTGACTCGGTAGATTTGTAGTGCCAGGAACAAGGGCCCTGTCCGGTTGGAGTTGTATGACTGATTTTGGGGGAGTAGCGAGGCATCGAGTTGCTTGAATAACCGAACGTTAAGTGGAGATGAAAAGGTAGAAGGCTGACAACAAATGGGGGGCGAATATAATAAACTTACGCCGTAGATGAAGAGCATACGAGAACAGAAGGGCCTGCGTAAAAAAAGACGGCGAAGAAAAGAAGCGCACGATGAAGCCCTTTTTCCCATAGAATCACCTAACTGCTCCTCAAGGCCTTACTCCTTGCCTTACTCTGATGTTCAAGTCGTCCCGGGGATGAATCGGCCTTCTGTCCTGTAAAAGCTAGAAACACCTGGAGATTGATCAGTGATATGATATGAACGAGTCAACACGACACACCCGACAAAGTGATATCGTCTGTCTTTTGCTGCAGCGCTTGTGGATAAGTGTGCGATGTAGAGTGCATGACAGTGAGGAAGACAAGGGCCGTGGGAACGAAAAGAAACGGCATCAGGCCGGAATGACGAACCGACTTGAGGGTCGGGCATTTTTGTCGTTCCGTCCGAATGTTTACCTCTTGTACCGACAAATGGGCTTTCCTGTCGTGAGAGCGAAAATCTCACAAAGACGTCTTACTTTGGGAACTTGTCAGACTTACTGTGGAAGAGCCTGAGGCTATAACTATTATATGAAGAAACTACATTATCCCCTTGAATATATTGAATACATCCGCTAGTGTACCAGTGAGCCCCAACATGTTCTGATCTGTGTCACGTCCAGCCAGTGGACGTGAAAAGCCTATGCAGTTCAGGACATAGATAAAATCGATGACTAGTTGAGCAAGGATGTCACCTTTATGTAGCACGAAGGTTCGGAATCGACCCTCATGCAGGACGAGTTCCACTTATTTCGCCCGCGAGCTCGGTAGCCTGAATTCTCCCTATGTTTAGAACTTGGGGCTCACATATGATTGGTGCGTGTGATCTATCGCACGAGTAACAGGCGCAGCCCAAGTCGCCCACACGTAAAGTTTCCACGCAGTTCTCAACATCCTGGAACCCGCATCCAAATCCTATTCTCACAATGACCAGCGTTGGCGCAATACCCTGCCAGATATGGAGGATGGTGATCAGATTTGGGAAATAGATTGAACTTCCAGGCCTACCACGAGGTGTATCAACGAGAGGCTAGCGACTGACGCGCCGATCGTCCCTCCGTAGCCATAGGATAGATTGAATACAAACATCGTCGTGAGTCCAAGAGGATAAATGAGACCAGACTCGATTCTGTATTTAATCAAGTGAGTCATCGACTATCAGTAACAGGAAGGGCTACGGAGAGGTTGAAGCTCACACACATGATCGCAAGCATGGACGAGTACATTTTCTTGACGCTGCTTCCAAGAATCACCTTTGATTGCTTCATCACAAGAAACACCTTGAAGGCTGTAATCCAGCACAAGACGCTACGCATGAGAAAATGTTCGAAGGAATCGTATAGAGGCAAACAACTCACCCAAAAGCAGAGTGATTGAGAGGCTGCTGAGAATATGGATCACGACGAATGGTATCATCAGTGGCCCGAGAAGATGTCCTTGGCCTGGATTGATTAGGAACGCGGCGTCGGAGTCCCGATAGGTTATGAGGTACGCGAGACCAAGACCTGCAGGCCTCTCAACTGGAAGAACTCAAGAAGGGTTTAACGGTCCTCACCGGTACAGGCCAAGGATAGAAGTACAGGTACGGCCACAACAAGAAGCCGACGATTCCACATCAGGTAGCACCGTGAGATCTATGAGTAGATCAGAAGGAGAATTCGGACCCAGGCTCATTCTGCGTACCATAATCGCATCCGAGATCGCGCTGAGCCCGCGCCGAGTATCAGTACTGCATAGAGAGCCCGCAGGGAGTGCCTTGAGCTAGACTTACTTCGATAAAAAGTACCCAGCCACGTAAACTCGCCTAGATAAACGGACTTTCAGAATGAGCTTGCTTCGGGAACGTCACCGCACGCCGCCCACATGAGATTCAAAGCAATGGTTTCTTCGGAGCTTCCTGTTCCCCTGAGACCGACCATAGCGCAACCGACAAAAAACCCCATCGTAGATAAAAGAAACGAAGCTGTAGTTGCGGTTGCGTAACGGAGGTAGTGGGTTGTTCTTGTCCTCTTGAGGATGATGATACACGTCCCATACAGAACGCAATATATGCCTGTATCGATCGTGAGTCGTCATTGATCGAATCGCTGGACTACGTACCATAGAGAAAACAAGGAATCTACGAGAGAGATAAAAAAACTCGTCAGAACTTTGATGCAGCCATGAAATGATCGCTTACCGCCACGTCTATGACACACCGAATGATAAACATTCTGTTTACGACCGTTGGTAATGGGTTATCTACACCGGTAGACATGATCCTGAGGGAAAACCAACGGCACAATAGCGAGGCTCGAGGCTACAGAGATAGTCTTATACTCACCGCACTTCATCTAAGAATGTAAATCGCTGTTAACGGACTTTTACGTGGGGGTGAGGGCCGCATAAATCAACACTCGCGTCAACAACGTCGGACTTATTGACAAATCAATTCAGATACCATTACGAAGCGCAGGTTTTTCGTGAGAGTGAGTATCCGTGGAAGACCGCATTGGGACCAAAGAACCTATTGGCTAATGGCATCGAATACGAGGTCCCAGACCATGGCCACGGCTTGGTTCCGTATAGGTGAGCGAGAGAGAGGACTCCGGAGTGATCGGTAACGGCATTTGACGGACATATTATACTAGGTATTAGGGTATCGGCCCAGAGAACGGAGAAGGCGATGTGTTGATGACAGCGGAAATCGTGACCGGTGTTCAAACGAAGAGCCGGTCACGATAGGCGTATTTGGAGTCTTGTACCCCTCCGTTCACAGAAAAGAAAAGGCGAGGCCGTTTCGATAAGAGGCTGGCCAGATACAATCTGAATTATGAGTGCACAAGTGAATTCTGGTTCCTTACAAGTGTTCAATGTCTCTCGTGTCTCTCATGGGTCCATAGTCCTTCAGATTCACGACATTCCTTAACGCACCAACCCGTGCTCTGTCGCTATGACTCGTAGTTACTATAAGAAGTCGGATTGATAGAAGGAAAGGAAAAGCAGCCGATTGACTCTCTGATTCCATCACCTACTGAGTAGGTGATGGGTATTGGCAGGGGAAAAAATTCCTTGGACACTGTGGGATTTGAACCCACGACCTCACGCATTCTTGCCACAATTGGACATGCGAAGCGTGCGCGCTACCCCTGTGCCAAGTGCCCTGCGAGCTCAAGGCAGGAATCTTCAGCGAGAACCAAAGATCATGATCGCATTTACACACGAGCGCGTTCTTCAATACTGAGGCCTGGAAAGGTCCTTCCGTTGATGTTTCAGACATATAAACTTGATTTATGACTGTCGTGCATGTCATGGGCCAAGCCTAGGGTGCATCGCAACACTCCAAATAACCAACTCCACCCGACATCACTATTGAATCGGAGAGAAGGCTTTCTCCACTTCCATCAGTGAAAGATTTGAATTAAAACCCACAATTGAAAGCCACACTGGTGGTTATATAAATAATTCCCCACATTTGCACGACCCACAAGTACCCGCGTTGAAAAACCTCCTATGATAATGTTCAGAGCACTCTCAATCACAATCCTAGCCTTTCTCCTCCCTTCCGTATTCACAATTTCCCCGCCCTCGTCGATAACCATCGTCTATCCCTCATCTAGCCGTACCTCTGGGATAGGTAATGGTACTCTGCTACCCTTCGGCATATCCGACACTTTCAGCGACAACAACACATACTGGGGTCTCTGGAGGCTTGTTAGCGTCTCGGTGACGCTCCCAAACAGTACTAATTTACCCGTTATTGGGGTTGGAACATTGGACCTGGAGAAATCCAGTAAACAATGTCGGATTTTCCCTGGGTCTAAGTACACTGGCCGCCTTCGTGCAGATCAGAATGGCAGGTATGTCGCGACTTCTTGCGCGAGGTATTCCTGACTGCTGATCATCGGGTTGTCCATCGTTTAGCTACACAGCCCACTGGAGCATAACGTATGGAATCACCTCCGACTCGTCACAGATTATCTCAGACGAAACGTGCGGTCCTGGGCCACTCTCCTTTCAAAACTTCACGATCGAGCATAAGTTCGATGTCGTCCTGAACGGAAATGACGAGTCCAAGGAAGTTCCAGAAGAAACTGCTACCCGGGAACTGGGGGCCCAGCCAACAGGGTCTGTCGTGGCAGATCCCCTTGGGGGTCAGTCTACAGAGGGTCCTGGCGGCTCAGTTAGTGGTGGCAATGGGGAGGCTAGTACGTATCTTGGTCCTGAAGCAGCGACCATCATGCTAGGTGCCCTCGTAGGGGTCCTGATAACCATGCTCTGAGAGTTTTAGGACCTTGATTTCAACGCGTAACCCTGTTTCAATTGAGCAACTGTACAAAACTCACGAGGATATTTATGTATATGTATAATCATTCTAATCATGTAGGCTCAACCCATACTGGTATCTGCCGGTTACATTATTCGACTGTAGGTTGAACACGTAGAACATAAACAATTCCGGCAAAGGCCCGCGTCTTCTCGCGAGCTTTTTCTGGTCGCGTATTCTGATTCTGTGAAATCGACGCCTGAAGATGATCGAGATCGACAGGTCCAACGTAAAATGACCAAAGTGGGTCCGTGCGCGCTGTGGGTTTGCGGCAATCATCGGGACTAGGCCTACGTACGCTTTGGTTGTTGACTTACGCTTGAAGCTCGCCTTCTCAATCCGAATCGCTCTGGTGGTCGACCCTCGATCAGATAGCCTGCTTCTTCCTGTCACTCTAATGGTTGTTACCGCTGTCGCCCTACGCGTATTCTTGCCTGAGCTATCTGTACCAGGAGACCCGGCCGTCTCGGCTGTCTCCGCAATCACTGAACTATCACGGTGGTTCGAGCTAGGGTGCTGCTGGGCTCTGTACGGGACATGCATCTTCAACCTCGCGGAGAAGCATGCCCCCAATTATCTTCGTCGTTCTCCAATATGCCTTCACAATTCCTTCACAGCTTTCGACTCTCGGATTTCCGTGCGTATCTTCCCCGTTGGATCGTGGTGGGTATTTTCAATGGAACACCGATGCTCGCGCTCTTTTCATTCTTCTTCTTCGCCCCCTGTCTTCGGCTCTCCTCAAGATGCTATTGGACACTCTTCGGTTCTGTGAAAGCGCGCCCATGTCCATTAGTACATGCTAGCTCTTGAACCGCTGCTTGATTGCAATGATGAATTAGGTCTGACTGATGCCAGCCTTTGGTAGCACTGTACACCTGCAGCCTCTACTCGGTTATCATACCGACCTGAATCAATCGAGCTTTGACGGTATCTATCTAGGGAACATCCTCCCTTCAGGATAAATACCCCCTGCAATGACATGTTGGGTGAGCTCCCATTTTGTTGCCTTCCCGCAGTCTCGACAATGCTGTGGGGACTTTTGAACGAAGAGAGATGGATTCATTCCATCATCGCGGTTGCGGTGAGTCGCTCGTCCTACCCCGTAGGTCGCAATAGCACCGTTCTTAGCTCAAATACTGTATCAGGTCCCCTGTTTTCTCTATGGTACAGCGAGTTGCTCGATCGACCTTCAATCCGCTACCATGATTGATTCATGCTTAATGCCCAGGACTCTATTGCATTCTGTTTGGGATGTGCATTCTCATCCTCACTAGGAAGAAGACACCCAATTATCTCCGATATGCCATTGCAACAGCAATATCATTCATGATCTCTACTCTGGGGGTCTGTATCAGCATTGCAGTGGTAGTTTTTGGCGGGATCAAGGGAAAGAGCTCCACTGAGCTTATTCTCACGTAGGTGACTTTGTGACTGGTTCCACAGCCTATTGGACTGACGCCACATTCCTACAGCATTGTTTACTGGAATGTCTTCGTGCTTTCAAAGTCAGTGCGCGTATCATTTGACTAGTAAGGTGCAAACTGACTAACTTCGTTTATAGTGTTGTTTCAGAGGCCATCTTGGTACGTGGATACTGCAAACTCGATTTACGTTTGCCTTCACTCACACTCATCAATCAGTTGTCGCGCTGCTTTTTTGTTTGGAATCGTCGGTGGGCTGTCATCATTCCCATCACTCTGTTATGCCTTGTGACAAACGGTGGGTCCTCTACACACTAACGGCTCGCCGAGACTCACTGATTTGCGTCAGTATTTGGCGTCCTCACCGGCCCTAACGTAGTATTTTTTGGGGTCGAGTTCATAGCAAACTTTGTGGTGACCATGCTCATTGGTGCGTGGCTACTGATTCTGAATTGATACCCTCTCAAGCAAATTGCACGTACGCCGCCGGTTCTTAGGTTACAAGATCTTCCGTTTTACAAGGGAAGCCGGCGAAATACTGGGCCAGAAAACACGGAAGATGTATTCCTCACTACTCGCTATCGTGTAGGCTGTTATACAATTATCATTGTCTTATTCGCTGATGAACCGATGAATGCACAGAATCGAGTCTGGTCTACTTTACCCACTCAGCATCCTCTTCTACATCGTAATCTTCGGCGTCGAGAAGGTTTATGATCGGGTCGCACTCTATTCCATGATCCACATCGTTGTAAGTACACAGTCTCATTACTTGTGCAGGTGTCTCCTCTCTGACTAATTCTGTCCTAGGGTATGGCTCCAACACTGGTCGTTGTACGCGTAGGTCTTGGAACCGCATTCCAGGACGTCGCAAGCTGTGTCGAGACACTGCGTCTGGAAGGGGACTCTGGACAGGGTAGAACACGGACAGTCGTGTCGAATTCCACAGTTCTTGACATGCAGAGACAGTCTGGAGCCGACATCGAGTTGAATGGCCACTCGTGAGCTCCTCAGCCGATATGTAAGGGTCCATATCCGTACCTTTGTATTAAACCCTGCCTGTCAGAGACCCATCCGCCGCCAAAAATCTCATTTCAACCATGTGGTTTGAAATGCGAGAGCGGATGTACTACCCAACAGCCCGTGGTGACACCCTCCTCAAAGTCTCGTGCAAGTTGCCTGACATTGATTCCAGTGTATTGCGTGATTCTCAATCACTAGGGTGTACCAGGTGCTCAAACCTCAGAGAACACTCCCAAAAGTGTAGATGGTCACAATGGGCTTTAATAATAACATTAATGAACCATTGTGCACCACGCGAAATTCAAGCTGACATGAAAATGTGGCCCCTACTTTATGAGGTAACCAAGTGGTAACTCAGGTGGCAACATTGACTTATCGGTCGTAGGCATGAGTGAATAGATAGGCATTGATGACCCTGGTGGACCACAGCCAGCGTGACAATCCAAACCATTCAATTCATAGTCTTGGAAGCTCACCGCCCCCATCACGGACTTCAGTCCTGTGAGCAACGGAACCCTTGAAACCCCTGCATCCATACTAAAGGTTATATAATGACGGGTCTTGGAACCTGCGGGTCCACTCTGGAGAATTTGAATTGACGATGTTCAAAACGCTCTCCTCAGTTGTGGTCCTTGCTTTTCTCCTCCCTTTTGGACTCACGATCTCCCCACCCTCATCCGTATCCCTCATCCATCCCACAACTAGTGGTACCGCTGGGATTAACAATGGAACCCTGCTCCCATTTGGCATTGTTGACCCAGCCGATGTCAGTCACACTTACTGGGGCCTCTCGCGACTCGTTAACATCTCCTTAACCTACCCAAACGGTACCAGAGCGCCGATTATTGCGGTCGGTGATTTCAGCCCTGGTCGTAGAGATTGCCAAATCTTTCCTGGAGGAAGATATGTAGGCAAAGTTCGCGCAGATGTGCAGGGAAGGTGTGTATCATATCATTTGTGTCGCAGTTTCTCCCCTACAACCTTCTTTTCCAAGCACTAAACCTTTTTCTCCGTTCAGGTTCACCGCTCACTGGGAAATATCCTATGGAATCGCCACAGACTCTTCGCAGATTGTTCCGGGTCAATCATGCGGTCCAGAGCCACTCTCGTATCAAAACTTCACCCTCGAACGTGACTTTGATGTTATTCTAGTGGGAGACGGCCGCGTGCCCACGGGAGTTCCCACGGCGGAGGCGCCACAGGAAACCGCCATCCGCGAGCTGGATCCCAAACCGACAGGTTTTGTCAATGCGGACTCCAACAAATACAGTATTAGCATGGTTGGAGCAATGGTAGTGATACTAAGTACTCTTGGAGGGGTATCAGTAGTATTATCTTGATCTCGAGGATCTTGATGAACGCGTAGTAATGCTTTTTTCTATGTTCGCAATGC